AGGGTAACTCAGTGTGGCCGGTGCTATAGATGGGGATGGTGGCGCCATTGCCGAGAGTGATAGAAGAAAAAGGAGAGGAGGTGCAATTTGACAGCATAGTACTCGAATTAGACATGTGGCTAGAGGCTCCAGAATCAAAGATCCAGTCCATACCTGAGGTTCCTTGAGCAGTGAAGTGGTTCATGGCTTGCAAAAAGGCAGCTTGGTCCCAATGAGGAGTCGGTGAAGCCAGTAGGGCTGGTGCAGTCGATGGCGGCGGCGGTCCATGCAGTTGTTGCAGCGTGACCGAGGACGACTGCAGCAGGGGCTGCGACTGGTAGAGGCCGATGTTGTTGATGAAGTACGGCTCCGGGGCGCTATAGTAGGGCGTTGGAGCAGCATGGTACGCATGTGTAGGAGGACGGGAGCCCAGTAGGCCAGGAGATCACATGTGTGGGCGCATGCCCGGCATCTAGGAGCCGGAGTACGCAGGAGGGGCGCCGATTGGAGAGGGGGCAGTCCAGGGCATCGGCCAGGCCTAGACGATTCCTGTCCAAGGGTCATGTGGAGGACGCCATGCTGGGGGCGCTGGTGGCGGTGCGGCGTTGGGAGGATGCGCTGGTGCAGTCGGGGGTAGCGACGACAACGGCGATGACGATGGCGACGGCGATGGCGGCCTGTAGATTGGATTTCTGCCTCTGTAGTTCGGACTTGGGCGCCAGCCGGGAGGCTGCTGGATCAGAGTCGGCGGCGGTGCGGCAGGTGCAGGAGACGACGGCCGTGGAGTGGCGATGAAGACTTGAGGACACGGCTCCTAGTTGGTGATGGCGCGATCGGCCCATTGAAGCATGGAGCGCACCTCGGCGAAGGAGGCGGCCGGCCGCAGTATGGGGATAAACGACGCCTGTTTTTCAAAGCATTCGCCGAGGTCGACGAGGAGAACGTTGATGAGTTGTCGGTCGTCGATGGGGTCCCCAAGCTCGCGGAGTTCGTCCACGATGGACTTGAGACGCTGGCAGTAGACGCCGACCTGAGAATCGCCTTGGACGGTGTTGCGGAGCTCGGTGTGGAGGGTGTTGACGCGGGCGTCGACGTTGTCCTAGAAGAGTTGACGGAGAGCCACCCAAAGGGCGGTGGCGTTGGTGGCGTCACGAAAGACGAGGTTAAAGATCTCCGTGGAGACACACTGATAAATCCACTGGATGATGGCGAGGTCGTCCTTGACCCATCGAGGATCGAAGGGCCGGGCAACGGAGCCTGGGGCGACGTGATCCAGGAGGTTGCAGCGGCTGTGGTGAACTTCAAAGAGATGACGCCAATGATAATAGTTGTGCTTTGGAAGATCTAAAGTAATGGGGATGAACGGGCTGACATGTGAGATGGTGTCAGCATAGTTGATGGTGGTGGGTAGGGTTGAAGCTAGGGCGAGGGTGGAGGAAGAAGAAGCATTGGTCGCAGCGGAGGCGGCCTTTGCTTTGGCGGCGGCGAGGGCAGCCCGACGTTCGAAGAAGCCGGGCGGCGGCAGCGGCGGCGGCGTGGGAGGCGCAGCCAAGCCCTAGAAACGACTAATTTGATACCATATAAAATTATAATGAAACTTGTATATATTGATAATTGGGGGTACAAGAGATATATAAAGGCCTAAGTCAAAAGCCGACTTAGCCTGGGTTTCCTAAACCGAGGCGCTTTATTGATCACAAAGTTTTGTTCTGTCCTAGGGCGTGTAATCTCCGGGCTCATTTGCTTGCTGTTGTAGGTTCGATAGCTGAGCCAGGGAGCCAGCTTCTGTGGCATTCAGACCCACCGGTCGATGTAACCCGTGCTATGGCCGTCGATTTGGTCGATCCAGTGTAACTTGGGAATGCAAGGCGTTCCTGCTCAAAAAGAAAAGAAAGAATTCGTCTAGTCCGTAGGCTGCTATTGCTCGTAGCATCTAGGAGAGTCCGATAGGACTTGCTTGCATGTCATGGCTGCATGCATTGCATGGCCGTTTTTAAACGCTGATCGGCCCCATGAGTGTAGCCGAGTTAGGTGCAGTTAGTCAAAATTATGGTAAAACAGTACTTGCCAAACGGATCGGTGGTTTTGGCAAAACAGAGGAAAACAACGCTTTTGACAAACCGAGGTATTCATTGCCCTCATGATGAAAAACTGAGGTTTTGAATTACCACGGTTTTAGAAAAGGACCCCGATAAAATCCGAACGTTCGGATTTTAAGTATTTCGTCCCGAACGTTTTTACATGGCAAATTTAGCTGGCGCGAGGTGGCAACTTTAGTTGTTAAGACATGACAACTTTGTCCCCAGTTCATTTTTTTCCCAGAAAATTGCAATGTTTGCCAACCTCATGTAAACTGAAGTTGCCATAAAAAACGTTTGGATTGCCATGCTTAAAATCCGAAGTTCGGGATTTATCATTGTTGTTTAGAAAAACAGTGCTGCCAACTGGCCCTAAGCTCTCATTTGGTACACCAGGTCAGCCCCTCCAGCCGGTTGACTCCCCTTCCCCACCCAATCCACCGGTCCCCTAGGCCTAGCCCTTGAGGTCATCTCGTGGCTTGGCACAAGACAGACACTTCACTTCTTCCTTTGACACGCCACTGCGCACCCCATGCCTTATGGCACCTTTTCTCCTTTATTGATGGAAAGTAAACTGTTCGAAGTCCCTAATCATGGCACCTTGTCACATATTATGGGGAAGTGCCATTGCTTTAGCCTAAAATTGCTAAAAATATATATAATTCATGCACGGATGACGGATATGGATGCAATTTTTATTATTTATGATGTTCGTTGTACTGTCATGATTGAAGATGAAGTTTTCTCACCAAAAAAAAACCCATTGAGGAAGAAACGGAATGTTGCGAAGCTTTTATTTCCTTTTGTACAGAGAAGATTTTTTTTCAAGTTGTTGGGTTCACCTATCACACATGACAAAAATATGTTTTTTAACACGCATGACAAAAGTATTTGTACCCTGCATATGTACGCTAGGTGAAGGGACATCACAGGAATAACGTAGTACGTGGGGTTTAAAAACTACCCAGCGAAGGACAGATACACCTCGGCAAGGGCTTTGCCGAGTGTTGCCCTCGGCCACGACGGGTCGGCTACTTCATGTCGACAAAGGGCCGTAAGCCGAGATCCTCTCCACGGTGACTCGGCAAACATTTTGCCGAGTACAATTTAGGAGCTCTATAAATTTGGTCAAACTTTAGTTTGACTTAGGGTAAACAAAGAGCTCCAAATATTTTGTTACAGAGGGAGTAGAAAATACAAACAACTTATGTAAAATGACATGAAGCAAGTATAATACCGCACCATAATTTTTATAGTTCACAAATTTTCACCATCTGGAATTCAAATTTCAAATCCTTTCAAAATATATTCAAGATTGATATATGTTAGAATCTTATCACTAGGAACATGATTGTGCTAACTGACCATTAAATAATCCTCGCATAAAGTAAGTTTATGTGTAATATATTTCATTTCACTTATTTATGGTTGTTTTGGGACTATTCACCACTTTTGGAAAGGTGAAAATTACATAAAGTCAAACTTGGTCAAAGATAAATGAGTTTGAATTTTAAGAAACCTCATATGCACTGCATTGTGGAACTGATAGCGCAGCTTTTTCTTAATTCCAACTATATAAAGTTTGACCAAATTTACTGAAAGCAATATGAATATATATATATAGGTTTGCCCTCAAAATGTACCCCTCCTATGAAGCCCAACTCGTATAGTGTCGGGCTTGTTTTTTAGAATGACACAATATTTGTGTCAGTCGATTTGGTACTAGGACCAAGCCCATTAACTATGCGATCCAAGGCTGTCTCCCTCCCTTTGTTTTTTTATTTTCTGTTTTTATGTGTTTTTGCTTTTGCTTTTCTTTGTTAGTTGGTTTTGCTTTTCTATTGTGGGTATGTTTTGGTTGTTGAGTGAGTGTAAATGCATATACACAAATACTATGCAATAAGTGCGAAAAGTATGCTATTACATGATTATTGTTTGTATACTACAAAAGGTGCAATTTTAGAGCAAAATTGTGTGCAACTGTTTAAACTTGTTTCTTTGTCTTTCTTCTTTAAAAGGTGATACCATTGCTTCTAATTAATTGTTCCTCATTTGATTTTTATAATTATTATTCTATTTTTTTCTTCCTCATGGGTAGCAATGTGAGTTGCTCATTCCTTCTTAAGAATTGTTTTTGTAAAAGTTTCACTATTATATGTTTATGCTTGCATATTATTGAAAATTGCATTATTTGTCTGTTGTGTCCAAAAAATGATCGTTGGTTGTTTGATTTTTTTCTTCTTACAGGGTAGCACCAATGCCATTAATTTATTCTTTCTTGGAAAACCTCATTATTTTGATTTTTTTAGTTTTTATTTTATTTACTTTCTTTGAAAGGGTAATGCCAATTTCACTAACTCATTCTTCCTTACAAAAGCACATTAATTAGTTGTTATGAAGTTTTATCTCAATTTGTTTTTTCTGAAAGAGTAACAACAAAGCCGGCAATTCATTCTTTCTTGAAAATTTTGGTATTTTTATTTTTACTTTATAATTTATTCCCTTTCTTCTTTAATGATAATACTAACAAACAAATTCAATTACTCTTCCCTTTCAGAAAATATGTGCCATATTATAAAAATGTGCCATTTCTGTGTAAAATCTGGGAACACATGCATGCACCTTTCCCCAAGAAGATGTGGATGCCGATACACTGTTCTCATGGTAGAAAAACAAGTCTCATGCATTGGTGCATGCATGCATTCTCTCATCTCGCCGTCTGTCCAGCTCTCCATGCATCAATTAATTCGTACATACACCTCACGGGCCAGTGGGAAAGCAGACCGGAAATCGAAACGCGCCGTCGGAGTTTGCATGCCACCGGAGTAATGTGGAGCGGACGTACGGCTGTTGGGTTCTTCACTCGTCCTGGCCTCCATATAATCTCAAGCATCTTTTATGCGTGCGATCTTTGACCCTGAAGCAAGTTAAGTTAGAGGAGAAATGGGTCATGGCAGCAGCGGCGACGGCAGCTGCGCAGGAGACGGAGATCTGGCCGTGGTGCCCGTGGAAGCCAAGCCGCAGCCGCAGCCGCAGCGACAGCCCGCCCTCTGTTGGCGCCGCATCCTCGCGTTGCAGCGCCGCTCTTCTTCTTCCTCTATCTCACACAACTCAACTCTCTCTTCTCTGTTGCTTTGTTCTTCTCTCAAGAACACACGAACGCACACGGTGGGAAAAACTCATAAACTCTCTCACACACACACCTCACCGTGGAGAGAGACTAGCTTTGCTTTCTACTCCCGGCGAGACACACATACACTACATTGTTTTACCCAGCCCACACGTCCTCATTTCTCATTCCTTTTCTTGACTTATATAGCAGTACAAGAGACTCGTGTGCGCACGACGCTAGCCACCAACATCATGACCTGCCCACTAACTAATTCCTAGCTACATGCATGCCCACAACCAGCACTTGCGCAACCTCCAACGGCCACAAATTCTGGCCATGCACTCAGGACTCAACAACAAAGGCCACTAACTAACTCCACGACTTGGCTAATCCTGCATGCACTAACCAACACTACTAGCTTTCCATGCAAACGTGATCACGTCTCTACGTTGGTACACAGCCGCAGCTTTTAGTGTCACATCTCAACTACATGCATGCATGATCTAATCAGGACTAATAACAAGATTAGTTCCAACATTCACCTCTCTAATCTTGTTAGCTTATTTCTCTCTTGAAGCCTATGGTCGTCGATGTCGTCGGTGCAACACGCAGATGGCCGCCAATGCCATCTTGTCACACCGATTGCCGCCGTCGCCGCTAGCTTCGATGAGAACCGCACCTCCTACGCCTTCACCACGAGTGTGCCACCGTGACACGCTCGCTGCCTCATGTTCGCCACCGGTGCCGCAACTCGCCGATGACTCGCCTCCATGTTCGTCGCCGGTGACGCAACTCGCCGGTGACTCACCTCCATGTTGCCGATGATGAAACACCTTGTCGCCGACTCGGACATGGAACTCCTCGTGGCAGTGGCCTCCGCTCCATGGCCATCACCTCCTTGCCGCCGATGCCACAACTTACCGGGCAGCATACCTTTTCTCCATCGCTCGTGACGCAGCTCGATGATGATGGGGACATGCACCGGCCGCTAGCAGCATCGCGCCGCCAACGGCGTCCACCTTGGGCTGCCGGTCTCCACCTCATATGGAGTCCGCCGCACCGTCGTCGTCGCCTCGGATCAACAAGGCTCTGATGCCAATTGTTGGCGCCGCATCCTCGCGTTGCAGCGCCGCTCTTCTTCTTCCTCTATCTCACACAACTCAACTCTCTCTTCTCTGTTGCTTTGTTCTTCTCTCAAGAACACACGAACGCACACGGTGGGAAAAACTCATAAACTCTCACACACACACACCTCACCGTGGAGAGAGACTAGCTTTGCTTTCTACTCCCGGCGAGACACACATACACTACATTGTTTTACCCAGCCCACACGTCCTCATTTCTCATTCCTTTTCTTGACTTATATAGCAGTACAAGAGACTCGTGTGCGCACGACGCTAGCCACCAACATCATGACCTGCCCACTAACTAATTCCTAGCTACATGCATGCCCACAACCAGCACTTGCGCAACCTCCAACGGCCACAAATTCTGGCCATGCACTCAGGACTCAACAACCACTAAGACCTTTTCTCTAGGCCACTAACTAACTCCACGACTTGGCTAATCCTGCATGCACTAACCAACACTACTAGCTTTCCATGCAAACGTGATCACGTCTCTACGTTGGTACACAGCCGCAGCTTTTAGTGTCACATCTCAACTACATGCATGCATGATCTAATCAGGACTAATAACAAGATTAGTTCCAACACCCTCGACGGGCCGCCCTTCCTCATCTTCGAAAAGTGCAGGGCGCTGGAGCTCTTGGACTGCCATGCCTGCCACCTCCCCCTCAAACCACCTATTTTCGCGGTAGCTTGAATCTTCGTGTAGTAGCTTGTTTGCAAATCGGTTAGAGTAATGGTAATTCTTACCTCATACCATGCTCGTCTTGATCCTTTTTGCAGTGCGACGAAGGGCACCTGATGTGCTCGTCCTGCCGCGGTGCGCACGGCGAGGACTGCGGCCGCGTCGCCGCCCACTGCCGCCTGGCAGACGCCTACGCCGGCGCCGTCAAGCTGCCGTGCGACTACGTCAAGTTCGGCTGCGAGGCGGGCCTCGTCGTCTACCACGACGCCGCGGACCACCGCCGCGCTTGCCAGTACGCGCCCTGCTACTGCCCGGAGCGCGCCGGGCCAGGGGGCGGGGATGGCGGCTGCGACTTCTCCGGCTCCCGGCAGATGCTCCTCGACCACATCTCCACGGAACACTCCCGCCCCGTCATCGTCGTCCGCTATGGCCAGCCGGGGAAGCTCAGCCTGCCCCTGACCCGGCGCTGGCACGTCCTCCTCGGCGAGGAGGATATGGCCGACCGGCAGCGGAACGTGTTCCTGCTGGTCCTCGCCGAGCGCGACAAGGGCGCCGCGGTGTCGATGGTGTGCGTCAGGGCGGACGAAGGCGCACCGGCGGTGCCGCAGTTCTCGTACAAGCTCACCGTGGAGCACGCCGGCAGTGGTGCGAGGGTGACGTTCGAGTTGCCCGTGATGACATTCAGCTCCCTGCCCGGTGGCACGCCATGGCCGGATGAGGTCACGTCTTTGTACGTGCCGAAAGCGTATTTGTCGGGCGACGCTGTCCCCCTCGGCATCCACATTGACAAACTCGTTCCTCCTCCTCTTCCTCCTCCTTCTGACACTACTCCTCCTGCGCCGGCAACCGCCGCGGTCTTCAAGTTCACAGCGACAGATCAAGGCAACAAGAAACGAAAATCTAGCAATCCAAGGAAACTCTAGTCAAACAAGACCAGCTAGCTAGTATGGCATAGTAACTAGCTATATTGCCATGTGAAATGCATCGTTTATATATCTCATGAGTTTGGTTTTTGTTAAGGGGCCTGCTAAAAATCAGTCGACCGAAATTTAACCAATTCTCAGTCAACCATGCAACATTTTATGACATCGTTTGCAATATTTTTTCCTACCGGTTGCAACATCTGTCTTGCTGGTTGTAAAATGTCGTCCCTCACGGTTGTAGCACGTCATCTTGCCGGTTACAACATCCTTTATTGATCCTTGTAGCATTTCAGTTAGAACGGTTGTCGCATTTATTGTTGTTGCTTGCAATACCGGCGCAACATTTTTTGTCACCGTTTGTAGCATCCAGCCATGCTGCTTGTAGCGAAAAAAAAGATGCTAACGTCACTCGACTGAGTTCTAGACACACCCTTTTGTTAATCTGAAATAACGCTTTCTGTGCTCCCTTTTCTATTGCCTCGTGCACAACCTGGCGTTATGGATCCTGTTATGCATTTGAATGCACAAGATGCATGAATTAAAACAACTTTTTGTTGGGTCACTAATTATTGGCACTTGAGGAAAATATCCTTTAAAAAGTACCGTCCTGGAAAATGCTACTCGGTCGGAGCCGTTCCATCTCTATCTTTTTTCATGAAAAATACGAAAAGCTTTGGTATTATTCATTGATAAGTAGGAGAAAAATAACCACACAAGGTGTGGAAAAAGTAAAGAGGGATACAACATAGCACAAAACTCTCCAAGCTCGAACTCCAATCGGCAAGGCAAAGAGGCGAGATACAAGGTATGTAGGCCGCGTCACGACCAATGCCCGGCACCATCATCGCACCAACACGACTCTAGGCCAGACCAGATCAACGTACCTCCCCCCTATGCGCCTAGAGAATCGGCAAGTGGGATGCAAGACCTGCCCATAGTGGAAGGAGAAGCCTTGGAGAGAGCGTCGTTGAGGTCGTACATTGTACCCCGTATGCCACACCATGAGGAGCAGCCCGGACCAGCAAAGCGTCCGAAATCCAACACCGAATACACCACGAGCAAGAAACAACGCCTTCATAAAGGATACGATGCTGAGACGCCCTCGCTTCCTGATCTAGTGAACCGGATATGGGGTTTCCCCCGATACTTTGGTAGGGTCACAGATAAGAGGCCATGGCAACACCTCCAACTAGGGGACGGCATCTGCAGGTATCGCCCGCCACCAGCATCGGCAAACCGAGTAGGGCATTCGCCCAGCCAAAGTCTGCACAATCCCAAAGACTGCAGGATCAACATTCAACCCTGCAAAAAAAAGGATCAACATTCGAAGGCATGGAAATCATAGTAGGCGAGACCACAACTGTCGGAAGAGGAGTCGTACCCATCACCGAGGAAGGTGACAATGGGTGCCGCCAGACGCTCTACCACGGACAACCACTATGGGACAGGTCGAGCAAGGGGGAGGTCTGAATGCACTGCCATTAGCACACAATAGCCAACCAAAGAGGAAGAGGCATGGTCGTGACGAGGTCCGCCACTGGGAGGATGCTGGACAACCAAAGACCAAGGGGCCATGAGCACGACCACGTCCATCCTGAGAGGACGCGTGGCCGGGATGAGGTCATACTGTCGGTGTCAAAACCGGCGGATCTCGGGTAGGGGGTCCCGATCTGTGCGTCAAGGCCGATGGTAACAGGAAGTAAGGGACACAGATGTTTACCCAGGTTCGGGCCCTCTCGATGGAGGTGAAACCCTACTTCCTGCTTGATTAATATTGATGATATGAGTAGTACAAGAGTAGATCTACCACGAGATTGTAGAGGCTAAACCGTAAGAGCTAGCCTATGATGGTATGATTGTAATTGTGATTGGTCTTCTAAGGACCAACCTCTCCGGTTTATATAGACAACGGAAAGGGCTAGGGTTTACATGGAGTCGGCTACAAGAAAGGAATATCTGGATCGCCAAGCTTGCCTTCCACGCAAAGGAGAGTCCCATCCGGATATGGGCCGAAGTCTTGAGTTTTGTATCTTCACGCTTCAATAGTCCGGATGTTGTACACAGTCCGGCTGTCCGAATACCCCCTAATCCAGGACTCCCTCAGTAGCCCCTGAACCAGGCTTCAATGACGATGAGTCCGGCGCGCAGTATTGTCTTTGGCATTGCAAGGCGGGTTCCTTCTTCGAGTACTCCAAAGTACCTGTTACAACGAATAGTGTCCGGCCTCCAATCAATGTTGTGCTCCTCGGCTTCAATGCCTCAGTAATGACCATCTCCACGTGTCGAGCGAATGCGAGGAGTCAAGGCATTTTTGCATTTGCCACCCTCGATCCTCCAGGCTAACTGTCTATTTGAAGGGACGGAGATTCTCAGATCCAAACCTCACTCTCCCTCCCAGTGCTAGCATCTAACAGAGCGCTCCGCGAAAAGCTATTCCAGTATGGCCAGCCGTCGCAACCCTTCTGCTCGCCCTTCTAGTTCTAAGTCGGGGGATTGGGGAGAGTGCTCAGTTCCTCATAGCCGTTTGATAGAGTTACAAACCCAAGGGTTTCTCCCACCGGCGTTCATGGTCCGCGTCCGAGCTGGAATAGCCACTTATGATGAAGGGGAACAAGCTGAGGGATCTCCTAACCCATCCCTGGAGGAGCGTATATGCCTCATCCCACATCTGCTGAGGGGCGTCGAGTTCCCTATCCACCCATTTCTTCGTGGGCTCCTGAAGTTCTACGGCCTCCAGTTACACAATCTTACCCCCGCCTCTATTATGCACATAGCGGGGTATGTTGCCCTTTGCGAGCTGTTTTTAGGCTGCAAACCACACTTCGGATTATGGAGGAAGTTGTTCTGCCTCGTCCCCCGCACCCAGGAGGAGTCCCTATGTCAAGTGGGCGGGGCCGAAGTATGGCGCATTGCCGAGACCGGATACTTGTCCAGCACTCCTGAGAAGGCACCAGAAAACTGGCCTTTAGAGTGGTTCTATATAGACGACGTTCCCCTTCCGGATCCAGTCTGGACAGGTCTCCCCAAGTTCAGCAAGGCCCCGCCGAGGGCACGCCTAAGCTGGCGCCCCCGGGGCCCTCAAGAAGAGGACACAAGGGAAATATTCCTCCCGATGAACAGGATAAAGTTACTGGCCAAATCTGGACTGACGATAGTTGAGGTTATGGCGATATGCATACGGCGAGGTGTGCCACCGCTCCAATATCGGGGGAAGCCCATGTGGCATTTCAACGTGGAAGACGACACCACCCGCTGCGGCCGTAAGGGTCCAGACTCTGCCGCCACTTTAGCAAGGATATTGTCCGATTTGTACAAAGGGGAAGAGGAGGAATTCCTTTGCATAAAAACGCGGGACGGATTCTCCATGTACAACCCCCAACGTGGGTAAGTTGCCATTCCTTTTCCCTGCTTTACTCACTCTAGCGTTCTTCTGCTAAGATTACTTGCATCAATGCTTCTGAGCAGGAACTGAGGAGGGTCGTAGAAGGAATCTTCAGCCCCTCCCCGCAACCAGAGGACCCTCGAAGGGCCCTAGATTCGGGACTTAAAGTGGATCCGGATATCACTGTGGAGCTTGTCAACGGGGTATTCTATCAAGCGAGCTGGCATGGCGCCCTAGTGGCCATTACGGCCGACTACCCTGGACTGCTCCCCGCGTCGTGTGTAATCCGAACTAAAAAACCCTATCCTTCTAAGAGGACTCCCAGGTATTATAATTTACCCTTGAGGCATCGTTCTATTTGCAGAAATGACGGCCGGAGCGAGGGGCCGAGCCCCTAGGGACTCGTCAACAACGAGCGTTCGGATCGGGCAGGCTCAAGAGGAAGGCGGTGAGGGTTGACACACCGCTACAGAGGTAAAGTAATAGCCTGTCCTGTAATTATAGAATTTGAAATGTGACAGCACCCTTTGTGTCTGGCAGGAAGAGGAATAACCGGACTATATCTGGAGACCCCACCAATCACGCCTCCACCAGCCGGGTTCCAGAACCGGCTTCGGGGGCGGAGGCGGACACGGGGCGAGCACCGCATAGTTCCCCGACGGAGGATGCGGATATGTGTTCGGCCACGAACTCCGAAGTGGAGAGCACTATGAATCACCGGCGCTGGAGGGCCATGCTCCGGAACAACATCTTTTCTGAAGAGGCTTTTAATGCCTTCAATTCGGTGGACGCATACGTCCGAGCTGCTCGGGGCGGGCTTTCCCAAGCGACAAACCAGTATAGCAAAGATATACAGGTAAGAAATTTTGATAAGTATGTATAGCAGTAGCCCCTGAGACTTAGAATAGTTGCGACAACTGTTTTAAGGATCAATTTATGCACAGCTCCTTGTAGATAAGAATGAGCAATTGTCTCGGGAGCTGGAGGAATGCAAGGCCGAACTGAGGGCCGCAGTTGCCAAGTTAGAGGAACCCCAAAAGCCCTCTTCTGGTAATAATTGTCACAATTGTACGAAGATGCACCCAGTTAGTAAATGGCTGATATGACAAGTCTAACAGAAAATTCTGCAGACAATCCCGGGGTGAATCCGGAGGGCGTAAGAGAGGACGCATCACATCTGAAAAGGCAGCTGGAGGCTGGCGAGCGCATTCTTACGCGAGTTAGGTAGGAGAAGAACAAGCTTCAGGATGCCAAAGTCCAGCTGGACGTGGAGTTAAAAGATCTCCGCGCTCAGCTGGCGGACTCCGTGAAGGAGAACAAAAGGCTTCGACGCGGCATTTACGGTAAGTGCCTAGACGAACTGTATTATAGATCAGCAAGGAAGTATATTGAAAGAATTTTGCTTGCAGGAGTGTTCACGGGTCGCCCTAAGGAGGAGATGCTCTCATCTGCAAGTGATTTACTGCAAGACCTTTCGCAAGTGCACGAGCGAGCTCGGCAAGTGATGCAGGGTGTAGCTCAGGCTTTGTGGCCATCAAGCTTGCTGCCGAATGGCATGGGGGAGCTTGTGAATATGCTTCAAGGAGCACGGCGGCGCTTCCGACTATGGAAGGTGTCC